TTATTTCTTGAATGTTTTGGTTTGTCTTTTCCTCCAATTCATTTAATTTTTTGTTTGCTTTCTCTTCTATTTCTTTAAGGGATTTTCTTGTTTCCTCTTTAAAGGTCTCTATCAACTTGCTGAGATAATTTTTGAGGTCCATCTCATCTTCATGCTCTGTGTTGGGCTTTTCAGATCTTGCTGGAGTGGAGTCCCTAGATTCTGGTGGTGTCATATTGGTCTTTCTGTTGTTGAGTGAAATCTTATTCTGTCTTCTCCTCATATCTTCTTTTAGTGGGTGCAGGGGGGTTCTCTCTATCTCCTCTTGTGGCCCAGTGGTGTGTGGGGGCTAGGAATTCAATGTCCACAACTCTAGATGATCTAGACGCTGGTAGTCTCCTCACTAGTTCCTAGTTCCTCGGTCGTTCGGTGGAATGGAAGAGGGGGGTGCTAGCAGATTTGGGGCACAGGGAGCTCCTCCCTGCCTGGGAGAACCCCATATTAGGATAAAAAGTTTAATTTAGTTGTTACTTTAATTGGGACAGACCCAGTTTTTGTTTTGTTTTGTTTTTGTTTTTTTGCTAGCTGGACTTGAATACACTAATAGCTGTTCTTGATAGTCAGGCTCAGGAGGAGGAGGTAGCCAAATAACGGAATAGACCTTTGTGTTTAACTTTAACCATCTAATGGTTACTTGGGCAGTGGTGGCACATGCAGTAAATCCTAGCATTTGGGAGGTAGAAGCAGACAGATCTTGGTAAATTCAAGTCATCCTGGTCTACAGAGATGGTCCCAAGACAGCCAGGTCTACATAAAGAATTTCTGGATTGAAATATAAAAAAAGTAACTATATTAAGGTTTCTATTGCTGTAAAGAGAAGTCATCACCATGGCAACTTTTCTGAAGAAAAACACTTAATTGAAGACTGTCCATTTTATTTTGGCTCTGTCCATTATATTCATCTTCGGACATGGTGGTATTCAAGTAGGCCTGTTGCTGTAGAAGATGCTTAGAATTATATATACATCTTAGATCCACAGGCAACAGGAAGTAAAATGACCCACTGGGTGTAGCTAGAGCATACCCAGACCTCAAATTCTTCCTGCAAGTGATATACTTCCTCTTACAAAACCATGCCTTCTCCAACATGGCCACACCTACTAGTAAGAATTCAGCATGATCTTAATAGGGAAATTTCTTTTCTTTTTTTGAGACAGGGTTTCTCTTTGGCTTTGGAGGCTGTCCTGGAATAGCTCTTGTCGACCAGGCTGGTCTTGAACTCACAGAGATCTGCCTGCCTCAAAGATGTTTGCCAGCATACCTCATACAGCATTATGCATGTATGTAAAGGGACATGGTTATTGATCACATTCCAGTAATAACTAACTTAGGATAGTGATATATTTATAAGTACTATGAACTTTTAGGCTCTCTGATCTTCCCCATGTGGGCTGGAGAAGATGATCAAAGTGAAAGATTTTTCTCATCAGGAAACACTCACTTGTCTCATTAGAAACTTCATTTTCTGGGCATTGGCTGCAATCAAAACAGCAGGGTGCCATTCCCTCCTGCTGTACTTTTCTGAATCCAGGACCACAATCAGCACTGCACACGGAGAGCGGCATCTGAGGGAAATTAAACACATGCTGATTTTGTGAACTGTAAATACTCCTTCCATAACTGTATTGTACTAGGTCATTGAAACATCAATAAGCTTCTTTTATATACCAATGAGTGAGCATATTTCACTTAGTATATTATTTAATGCCATATATGAATGTGTGTAAACAGATTAATGTGAAGTTATGAGCTTCAAAATACTAGTAATTAAAAAGAATAATGGGCTGTTTGCTGTGGGGAGACACTATGGAGTTTGTAAACTGAGTTTTCTAATCATGTTCATCAACTTGACACAAAGCACATTAAAAAGTTAGAATGATCCTTAAGTAAAAATATCTCTTCATTATAGTAGCCTGTCATCATATCTGTAAAATTTTTATTAATTGGTACTTGCAATAGGAGTGTCCTACCCATTGTGGCCAAGGCTGTATTTCAGAAATCAAGCAGAGCAACCCAGTAAGCAGTGTTCCTTCAGTGTCTGTGCTTTTGGTGCAGTATCTAGATACCTGTCTTATCTCCTGTTGACTGTAACCCATGAGTCAAGTTGACCATTTCTCTTCATTGCATTAATGGTTTAATTACAGCAATTGCATTAATGTTTAATTATAGCAATAGCTTAGTGAGGACTAATGGACATCCAAGGTGGAGTAAATGACTCGTCAAATCTCAGAAAGAACAAATGAAATGCAACAAAACAGCACTGCAAATCATGACAAAGTCAAAGTAAACAACAGCTAAATAAGCAGAACTTGTGCATTTGTGGTGATAAAGTGCTAAGTTGGTTTGTATTGAGCTGGAAGTTGGAGTGTGTGCTGAGATGAAAATGCTTTAGAAAGGCTGCAAATACTGGGGGATCTAAAAAAAATTAGATTGATAATGTTGATTAATAGATTTCTTCAAGGTTAAAATAAGAACACATTTTCATCATCAAAAACATAGTGATAGAGATCTATATGTTGCTTCAGAAAAATGCTGGTTATTGCATGCTCTCTTTCTGTCCTTTGTTTAATAGTGATATCTGTGCCAAAACCATGATGTCTCCTATGCCTGGGTTCTTCCGCATTCTCCACAATATGGCTATATAGATATTTTCCTTTTTGCAGGTTTCCTGAAAGAAGTTCCGCACTGTAGTGTTGGTAGACCTCAATTCCCTATATATCCTAGTCTGACTTCTTTATCACTGAGATCTGCATCTGCTACACTCTGCATGCTGAGTTTGAAAGTGTGTGCTATTTCTGGACACATTTCTTCCCTTCTTTTCTGTATCTTATCTTTACCATGCCTTTTTAAAAGCTTTCTAAAATATTAAGGAATAATTGAAGAAGAGTGAATAAAAAGTTGCTCATTTTCTGGTAATTTATTTTGAGGCAAGTTCTTGCAATGCAACTGTAGCTGACTTGGACTTGCTAGGTATGACAGACTGGTGATGAACTGACAGAAATTTACCTGACTCTGACTCCCAAGAGTGTGGATTAAAGATATGGACCACCACATATACCTGTTATCACCTACGGTTTTAAAGAAATTCTTTGGGTTCCTTTACATGTAGTACAATGTCAAGCATTGTCCTAAAATACTTTTTAATGCCATTGAACTTAAATAAATGTATTAATTTTTAAAACAAAACCCTTATTAAGATGTATTCTTAATATTTTATCAGGCTTTTGTTTGTTTTAAATTTTAACTCAGAATGGATGCTGAACTTTGTTAAGAGCCTGTTCTAATATATTTGTATTTCATGTAGATCTATTCTAGAGTCTATTTATGTGACATATTTACTTTAGTGATCTGTATGTGTTGAATGACAGTTGTACCCCGGAAGAAAGTCACCTTTGCCACAGGGATGATTCTTTCTGTTTTGTTGATGACTTATACTACTAAGTGTTTATGCAATAATTTCTACCATCAATGTCCATCATAGTGATTAGTCTGTAATTTTCTTAATAATGTTACATCTCCTGAAAATTATTTTCCTCCATATTTATAGAAGGGATCACTTCAAGTTTGTAAGTGAGGTTTGTATTTGGAAGGAAAAATGACTGTTGGTTTTACAACCAATCTTGATATTAGCTTATTTTTCATTAGATTATATGATGATTAACATGGAATAGTTATTGAGAGCTATTTGCTGAGTATGTTTGATTTTTGCTATTGCGATATTTGATACCTCTCTAAAAGTTGTTTTTCTGTGTACTGTTCTACTGTTGTCTTTGAATTTCCTGACCAATAGTATTTATCTTCTTTTCATTGTGTAGGAGTTCTTCAAGTTTCTTACATAGTACTGTCTGAGTGGTTATAAATTCCTCTAATTTGTGTTCATTTTAAGCATTGTTCTGTCTAGGTATTAATTGGGGTTCACTAGAGAAACAGAATTTACTCAATGATTCTGAATCTGTTGCTCTGTCTCTCATATATACATATACATACATACATACATATATACATGCACACACACTTGTATATACACACACCATTTATTAGTATGTATTATGTTTTGTGGTCTAGCTAATCAAACATTCGATAGATATGAATGGCGATTCAAAGAAACCAGAAACACCTCAGTCCATGATGCTAAATTTCTCAACTGATCTCTAGTATACAGTGGAAATCCAAAGAAGTAGGTTCAAATGACTGTGAGGGAATGAACTTGTTTGAAATGTGAGAGCAAATCGACAAAGAGCCAATGTCCTTATGTAGGATTCCAGCAGTTGGTGTAGCCCAGAGAAGAGGTGGGTTTTCCAGTATTAACTGATTTGAATTGTAATTCCAAACTTAGGAACATGATAAAAAAAATGCAACTTTTCCCTGATCTAAAGGCGTCAATTAATACATGAGACAAGGTTTCTCTTCATAGCTCTACCTGTCCTGGAACTTACTCTGTAGACTTACTCTGTAGAAAAGACTGGGTTAAAACTCAGAAATCTTCCTGCCTCTTCCTCTGCCTCTGCCTCTGCCTCTGCCTCTGCCTCTGTTGTTCTGGGAATGAAGGCATTGCCACCATTGTACTGCATAAATCATGTCTTGCGATATCAAAGATCTGGACAACAGGTGTATACTGCTACTTCTAATGAAGGCAAAATACTTCACAAGTGTGTCCAATGTTTTGTACTTTAGTAAATTCCAGATATAGTTAACTTGATACCTAAGTATAGGCACCATAATCTCCTTCCATTATAAAGGAAAAGTGTGTTGGTATAGTAACTGGGGTTGGCAAATATGAATCTAACAGCTTGAATTGCATCGCTGATTCACTCCCCTTTTAAGAGAGTTTAGGAAGGAATATGCTGTTATCCAGAAGGGGTTTCTATGAAATGTACTTCTCTCCTACAGCCTTCAATTTTTCTTGCTTTATAATCAAAATATTCCAGGTCAAGTTTCTTTTCTGATATTACGTGTTTTGTATTTAAATGCCTCCTGTCTCAGGTTGGCCACATGTCCCACTGTATTTTGGGATGTAATTTGATTTTTTTCCATTATTTTGTATGTTTTGTGTATGTAGTATGCTCTATCAGTTTTTTGTTACATGCATGCTTTTGTGATCTGATTTTATTCTTAAGGAGGTGATCCGTGTCCTGTTTGATTTTCAGTATCATTTTGAATTCTTTCTTTAGTATGTCATTGAACATAATATCAATAAAGCCTATGACTATATCATTTGGAGTTGTGTTGTTTTGATGTCTTCATATTTTAATTCATTGAAATGTTCATATCTAAGTTTAGAGCAATAATTGGTTTGTTTTTTACCTCATGTATTTCTTCAGTAGATATTTTTGGCATGCTGAACTGAGGCTTCAGCACCTAGGAAATTTCATTGCTTCACTTTGAATAGATATACAGCAAAGATGTTGCTACTTGAGCTCATATGTCCTTTTCCCTAAGAATAACTCTCCTCATAACTCTAAGAATAAATATTAATAGTATATTCCATATTATCTTGGCTCCCTTAGATACCTTAAGATCATACTTGAAGACTTTCATGAAGTTAATTCTTAAAATTCAGGGCAATTTGTAATTGAGTATTTTGAATCAGATGCCTTAAAAATCACTCACACCAGAGTTCATACCTATATTATACCTAAGGCCCATAATGGAATACATAAGTTATAAATTTTAAAAGACAGTTTCTTTACAACCATTGCTTCACCCACACATATAAGCAAAACAGATGCATCCCTGTTTGTTTCAATGTACTATAAAAGAATTAATGGTGTCAAGCAATATTTCTCTAGTGATCAATTTCTTTTACAGTATAAGCTTCAAATATGGAGAGATTCCTCATCTGTCAGTAAAAATTGTTATTCATGAACAAGGATCGATTTTGATTTCTGGAACCCACTTTGTGGCACTAAGCTGTCTCAAGTGTTCAGAGACAAAAATTATTGCTCTGGCATTCATATGCTCCACACATGCCAGTGTTTCATAGAAATACATGCAGACAAAACATACAGAGCCACATAAGAAAAAAGAAACAAAAAACAAAGTTATTATTCATAGGGAATCTCAATGGGTCATGATAATGTTATGTTAACTCATGAATAGATATGTTGGCAATTTAGGACCAGTTTGTAAAAGATTTAAACCAAATTATGTAATAAAATTAATTATTTGCATATTTTAAATATGCTACTCCCTTACAATTAGCTTCATTCCTTCCTCGTCAGTGTCACAGGTTCATCAGACAAAAGGAAAATCACTGAGTAGTGTAGTAATTAGAATGATAACAGAAGAATGTTGCTCAATATACTGGAAATAATATCAAACAATGGTAATATAACATCAACCAGTTTATATTTATATTTTTAAAAAAGAAGTATGGTCTGGTACCACAAAGAGTTATCTGCATTAATAAATGAAATCCTCAAAGAATTAATAAAGTGTCACATCTTAAAAGTGAAAAGAAAAACCTAGTATAGGAGGGTAGAATTTTTTTCCCAATGTTGCAATTCATTTTACTTCTCTAATTTACCAGGATGGACAAATGGACCCAACTGAAAGCATTATTGCTCTGTAATGAAACTGATATTTTGGTCCAATCTACCTGTCTTCTTCCTGTAGCCCACTCTATCATGTCTTCATATAAATGGAGCTGTTGACCACGTGGAAAATATGGACAAAACTTTCCTATCTTTATCTTAAATCCAAGGCCATTGGGGAAATTCCAAATCTGGAAAATGTCATACTCTGGCTGCAGTTTTTCTTTTTGGCTCATAGAAACTCTGCTCCTAATATGATCATTGAGGTGAGTTTTACTAAGAAACAAGTACATTTGAAAGATAGTTAGCATTGTACAGGTATGTGCCTTTTCTTGAAGTCAGAGTATTTATTCTAATTTCATCTTAAATACAACTTTATTGTGGTATAAATGTGAGAAATCTCAATGAAAGCAAGTAGAGTAATAAAATTACAATAATGTCCCTAGTATTTTAATTTCCTCAGAGGTAACTATCAAATACAACACAGACATACATGCAGACACAAAAGAAATATTAAATATGCACAAGTACATACACAAATAACACACAGGGAGAATTATTTCCATAAAGAGACACATAACATTAATTATGTAGCAACATATTTCATTACATGTATACATGTAAGGCAAGACATACATATGAACATACAAGTATACACACACACACACACACACACACACACACACACACATACACACAGCCTTATGCAGCCAAACAGACACAGAAACAAAAACTGGAAAAAGCATACACAGACCTACACAAGCACCCACAAATTCACAGGCATGTACACACAGGGACACATAACCAGACACAAACAATGGTAGGGGAGACAGTGATGAAGAAAGTTTATGCTGAAATCCAAAAACAAAGAGGTACACACATACACTGAAACATAGGTATACATATTTCCTAGCATCTCCATAAAAACAAACAAACAAAACACAGAGGTAGATACATGTAGACACAGGAACAGACAAAAAACACATGAAAGTACACACAGAAACAGACACCCATACAGAATATCACTGACAAAATACAAATTCATGCTCAGTTCTACAGATATATATGCAGATAAAGGAAGCACATATATACATCAATAGACATACATACAGAAACTAAGAAACATACAAACATACACCCATATTCATTGGAAATCATCCATTCACACATATAGAAAAGATGTGTGTACTGAACTGAATAAAAACATTATTTCCTGTGGAATTTTTCAGAGTGCCAAGTGAGTTTTCTGAACACACAGGGGGTCCAGAACCAGTTGAGCACATTTGCAAAAAATTCCTAAAGAATGATAATCACAAATTCTCAATTAATGAACAAAAGCTCATCTTCTTTTCATGGAGAGTGTTAAGGAGGAAGGACTGATATATTTCTAGAAGGAGAACATGCATGGTGATATTGAGGTGCTCTGCAAGAAAATCACCAATTTTAATTGACAAATTGTGTCTTCAACTCAATTGCCTTTGAATTAAATATTTATACAAACCTAGATTTACTTTCTCAGAAGGAAAATTTTTCTGAAATACCTACATTTGGATGAATATTTCATAAACCACTAGATTGTGGCATCAGAGAGATCATTAATGACTACAACATTGATGACAACAAATATCATCCAATAGAAGAAACACTAACTTCAAGGAGTTAGAACGGGGTCCTTTCCCATTGTCCATTGTCTGAAGAATCATCTCCTGGAAAGCATGGGCCACAGTATATACAGAATCGTATACGTGATAAGTGCTATCACTAAAGGCCATGTCAACAGTCTCTACCATTAGCCATTCCAAAGAGGCATTGGACGAGCAGTTCTCCAGGGTCTTACACTTAGAAGCTGAGACTTCACAGTTAATGTTCATCCACTCCAGCCTTGGCAGGATTTCCTCTGAGTATTGGTGAGGGTTCAATGTCTGAACAAAATTTTTAAAACCATAAATCTCAGCATGGTGATGGTCAAAAGATAGAATCCCATAAGCATTATCAAGTCTGAGGTCTTTCTCACTTGTGGTTACATCCAAGTGTGAGGTAGTAATCCATATTTTATGTATGCCGAGTGATTCCCACATTTTTATGCTCACAAGGAGAGTACTGTCTGTATCACCATAAAGGATAGCAACATTTGTGGATGATGTCATGATTTGGTTATAATACATTTCAGCTCTTGACATGAATAGCTGCATCTTTTCTGGGATGATAATCACAAAGGCAAAGCAGATTGTGTTTTTTTCCATTTCTCTTCTCAAATATGCATGAAATTGTGTACCCTGATCATTGTCTGAGATGGCGAGCCCAATCCAGTTCCAGCTGAAATGAAGTATGAGGGAGACCATGGCTGGGACTAGAGAAATGTCATTGGGAGACATCTGGTACAGATTGGGAAATTGTTCACGGTCATTCAGGATAGGATGGGAGGGTCCAAAGGTAATGTGGATTATCTACGACACATGAAGGAGGATGAGGCTGCATGCACTCCTTACGTACTCATTAAGCATACTTTTCTGCAAAGAATTCTAATACACCCTTTACCTGTTACTTCTTCCCTCACATGTGTTTCAAAAAAGAAATGAAGATGCAAAAGCTCTCTGAAACTGTAACTTCAATTTGGTTATCTACACAGATTGACCTAAGTATAATGCCATTCTCCTCACTACACTCTTCTTAGCATATGGAAATGGCATGAATGGAGATCGAATTTCTTGCAAACTCACCCCACAAAATCTCACCTGCTTATGATAATAAACATCATGGAATTTCGCGATTATGGAAGATATTTTCCAGTTTGTTCCGGTTAGCATCACATCACATACATTCCCTTCACCACACGCATAATTAGCGATTCTATTCTCATCATTTTCATCAATATATTCAAAGAGACTGGATATGTATGACTCATGCAGACAACCATATAATCGGAAGTCTAATACTAAAGACTTATTGGGTAAAAACTCAGTGTTCCTGTTGACTTCATCCATGGCAAAAGCTAAGGCCAATGCAAATTTATGGTATTCAGATGGTTTTCTGTAAAAGTGATCAGTGTTTAACATGGACAGACAGCTACAGGTAATCAAGTACAGTCAATACAAGGACTATCCTCTACTGGATTGTGTAACCAACCATCCCCAAAGATGGAATCAAATGTTCTCTGTTATGAGATTGCAATGACTTAAGATGCTGGAAGATTACATAAGCTTTAAAAGTTCGTCAGAGTACATCTCTCATATAAATGGTGAGCCATTGACATCTTCCACAGCCTTCTTAATTTTGGTGTTTGAATAATTTGTTAGAAAGCAAAGAGAAGGGCACAGGCTTTGATCAAACCATAGACCTGATTATGTTTTCAATTTTAAAGTATTGAGCAAGAATTAAAAATACACCTGATATGTGAGGCATTGAGTCTATGGTATTTTCTTTCTAAGTCTGCCATAAATGCCTGATGAGTGCACAATAGTCTAAACAACACTGACTTCTTATAATATTTTATACTCAGTGAGCTATGTAGCTAACATATCCCCTCATGTCCCTCCTCATCTTGTTCTGTATACTTTCTCGTTTATTGCAGGCATCAAATATTTTGTAAAGATTTGTTTTAATTATAATTCAAACATCGGAGATCTTTGTTAAAGATGCATGCCTGCATTTATTTGTGCTTACAGCCAGAGTTAATGCTCATTGATGCCATAAGTGGAAAATGGATGCCATGGTTTTTAACTATATTTTGTTGTAGACTAGACAGTCCTCAAGTGCACAAGGAATCACCTACTGCAAATCTGGAGTTCTGTGATTAATGACATTTACTGCCTGCTCAGTATTGCTCAGCTATTTTATGTTTACATGCAGCAGACATATATTCACACTTGGTTATCTGACCAACAAAATTTTCTCCTAAAACTTCTTTTTACTACCTTTCCCATTACACTAACACAGTATTATCATCACACAGTGATTTTTATGTGCTATTGTTTCATGTTTGTAAAACAGCAGTTTATAAAATGGAAATGCATGCAAAATGTTTGTGGAGATTTTAGGAAAGTAAGATGGTTAACAAGTCAGTTGCAAGAGAATAATATCAAATTATCTTCCCGTTTATATGAAGAATGATAACTCTCTTATTTCTTCCTGCTCATTTTGTATGATCTGACCCACAAACACCAAATAGATATGTTCATTCTGAATAACTCACTCAGAATTAAATAAATCTGTTTCCTACTTAGAAATTGTACCATTTTGGTGTCTTTATGCTTAAATATAGGCATTTCCCTCTACCATTTCTAATACAAATAGTTTTAGAATATTCTTTATTATCACACAGAAAAACTGTCATTGAAAATTTCATCATCACACAAGAGGCATTTCAGGTTTTCAATTCTGAACCTTAAACACCAACTCCTGTACACTGAACATTAATGAAACATCAATTACATGAAATGTAGGACTCAAGTGCTGTGTTTGAAAACAATTATCAGCAATTTAAAAGAATTAAAATGTGTATAGCAGATATAATTCAAAAAATTATTAAAGAAAAACTTAGGTGAAAAATGTAACATTACTTCAGAGAATGAACTACTTAGACAGAGACGATGCATGTTTCTTAAATAATGGTAAAGATGAGCTAGTAAGTAACCCCTTTACCCCTGTTATCAACTGTTTTCAACTATCAAATGACAGCTGTGACTCAGGCAAGTGATGAGGGTTGTAAGCCCTCACCACTATTTGTGATAGCTTCATTTTTCAAAGAATGTAAGCATACGATTCACAGTCTGTACATACCTTCTTTTATCTAAAGAAAACATGAAAAACTGTACTTTGTACTTAAAAGCCTATATAATTAAAGTATGCAGAAACAGGTCTACTTATGAGGTTCACAGTGAACAAGGCTCCTACTTTTTTTTCTAGATACAGCTTTAGAAACCAAAGTGTGATCACATACAGAGTTTCCGAGACAGTAACTGAATATTTATATGAAACTCTCTGCAGCTAGGAGTGCCACAATTATTAGTTACCCTTGCACGTTCAATGTGTAGGAAGTTCCTCAGCTCACTCTATTCTGTGGCCGTTTCTTGTACCCAGTTAGAATGGCATTAAGTGATGTAGAATGGTGTTTCTTTGGACAAGACTTTACCTGCCATTGTGCAATGTAACCTGAGAAGAGCATATATAAATCTCATATATATTTCTTCACTCAGTTTCTAACCTTATAAATTTGAGCATAACTGGGATAAAACCATAGCACTCTCCAGACAAATTAAAAGGAGTAAGAGAGCATTGAGTCCCTAAAAGGATTTGGAGTTGTTTCTTGGTGTACAGATTGGGTGAACAGGGCAGAAGATGCAAGGCAATGCTCTGATTCTAATCCTCATAACCCCTCATAAAATATTCATGACGACATTTAAGTAGGAAAATACAAAGTCACTTTCTGTGTATAGGAAAGGTATTTGATATCCTCTGTCCCTTCCAGCACTGGTGAAACTGAAAGGCAGAATGAACAACCTGTCTGCCAGTCTGTATTGTTGTCTTCATTCTGCTTTATTTTCCAATAGCACATAGGATGAGTAAAACTGACCACTGGAAGAGAACCATTCAGATATAAGAAGAGGAAAATCAAAGTGAACATATTTGTCTATTCTAAGACAGAACAGTGAGTATTACGATGTGCCATGCAGATCGGTACGTCAAATACACACCCACATACATCCGCCCTCTTTTATCAATGTGGCTAAAGGAGAGGTTACTTTTGAATTCATTATTCCTTTTCTATTTTGGCAGTGGTTTCATCACCTATTGAGAAAACATTGACAATCTTTTCCCTGGGGTTCTGCATCTGATTTCCACAGTACATGTGATGAAAATTGGTCAATAATTACATATGAGGATATTTCAGCTTGTTTCATGACATCACTCAACTTTGTGGAATTAATGTCCCTGGGATGATGCCATTTTGGGAAAATTTGGTCCCAGGACTACATCATCAATCTGTTTACATTAACACCTTTAGAAATGTTGTCACTGGATTTTGTTAGATGATCCATAATGACACATCAATTATTGATTTAGGAGGACATGGATTCACAATTAATGGTTACACACTGGGATTCATATCACAAAATTCATGCCATACAAAATAAACTTCGTATTTAGACCCATTGAGTTCTACAAAGCATGTACAGAAGTGGCCTATGCTACTCCAGTGAGAGGTACACATATATAATCACAGATCAATAACATGTGGTGACCCAGTTCTTCTGGTTTATTTGTGATTTCCTACAGTTTTTTCCCCATCTATCTATCCCAATAGTGGCTTTGAATAAAGTCTTGTGTTGAGTATCTGAGAGGCAAATAGTAATTGGAAAAGGACCTTCTAATGAAATTTTCTTCATCATTTATTATTTAATTTCAGTTCTAGGAATTGAACTGACAGTGACAGAGTCTTCTGTTGAGTGTGGACTGATGAGCCCCTTTCACTAGATATGGAACACACACACACACACACACACACAGAGAGAGAGAGAGAGAGAGAGAGAGAGAGAGAGAGAGAGAGAGGGAGAAAGAGAGAGAGAGAGAATTATATCTAGAGACTGTGAGAGATCTGATGGTCACATACATCATGATGAGGTCCCAGGTGGAAGAGAGCCAAGTGGTTGCTATTTAAATGGTGTTTTCCTAAACAGTAGTTGAATCTAAGTTACATGGACATACATGTACAGAGTCAGAGCCAAGTTATGTATATATACACACAGTTAAATCCAGGTTACTTTCACACATTCATAGAGTTAAATCCAAATCACATACATGTACACATACACAGCTTAAACAGGAGTTGAATCTGATGTGTATACCATTATGTAGAATTTTAACTAGTAGCCTTTTGTCATAAGTTTAAAGCCAAATTTTGTTGCATGTTATATAGATTTTAAACCAGACCCAGTGAGTAATTTGCAAATCCTGAGGCCACTGTTAGAGCATAGTCTTCAGATGTTGTTATTTTGTGAGAGCAGAGTGCAAAGAAATCGTAGAGGTAAAGGGTGTTCAGGAATGGGAAGTAGAGCCTTTAGAGGTGAGGGACTTTAGGAGTGTAACAGAGCCTGTTCAGGTATAAGATAATTAGGGGCCCTTTGTCTGTAGCGATAGCAGTTGTTGGCAATTTGTGAGATTCGGAAGTCAAATTTCCAATTTTGACCATTGATTGTATTGAGTCCAGGATGTTGTAATAAAATCTAAGTCTGTGGGGGACAGGGGCGAGTCACAAACACTCTGCAAGTGTGTTCCTCTAAGTTCCAAGAGGAAGATGTCGAGGAAAATGAGCGGCAGGATTGCGGGCAGAAGCTGAGAGATAGCACAGTGGGTTTGCAGTCTGGCTGCTGGGTGAGAGAAAGCCTGGAAGGAGCAGAAGAAAAGGCAGCAATGGACCAGCGTGCCCCAGAGCCTCATAGAGAATACAGTGGGCTGGAGCTTAAGCTGTGCGTCTCCCAGGCTGCTGGGAGATGGGAGAAAGCAGAAGAAAGGGCCACATGGGTGTAGCAGGCTGCCGGAGGCAGACAGGCATATTTGTCCACATGGAAAGTAATGCAGGGAGAATCAAACCCTTAAAATTTGGATTTGGATTCACTCAAAGGCAAGTGAACCGTCCATACCTTACTGACGATCAGATCTCCAGATACTGCAGGGGAGAGGTGGCGAGAGCTTAGCAAGATGAAGCTGAACTCTCTCTCTGACTCTCACATTGCAACAAACATACAAAGAGGACATTGCAAAGTTTAGAGAGGGAGAGCAGACAGAAACAAGCAGGTCTCAGAGCAAAGAAAAGGAAAGAATGTGGAGAATTCTTTCTCGGTTCCCCGACTACCTGGTCCAAGGCATCCTGTGGCCAGATTTGATTTGAAAGGAATGGTCAGATGGTCTCCAAAAGACCCCCCAATGGGAGTGAGGTATATGACACAATTCCCAAGGATGATGCAGAGAGAAGTCTGAAATTTGAGCACCTAAGGCACCTCAGGGTCTAGGAGGACTGAACAGAGCAGGCAAAGCTGTTCAGTGCATCATTCCACAAGAACAGGGACAAAGTGCTCTGAGCCCAAGAGAGACACAGTTGCCTTTAACCAGGATTTGGAGAAAAGTGAGAAGGTGGGGACTGTATTCAAGAAATGAAGCCTCACATCCAGGGAATGGCCAGAGGCAGGGAGCCCCAGCAGACACCCAATTGCCAGGTTTGAATGGAAGGCAAAGCCACTGGTGAACCAAAGAGCAGATTTGTTATAGGGAGAAGAGAGCAATGTGTTGTGGGTAGAGCTGGGCAGGTAGGATGAGCCTGTTAAGTCTTGGCACCGATGAAAGGATAAACACGAAAGGCGAAGTGGGTGCCTTTCAGCAGCACTACCAATGTATGCCATAGACACACACGCCAGGGGCAACAGTTTATTGGGAGAGGGGCAAAGCAACAAAGTGAAAGGCCATATTGCAGTCAGAACAAGAGGTGAGAGAGGAGAGAGGATGCAGGAGAAACGAGACAAGAGTGAAAATTGTCTTTTCATTGGAACCATGCATGCCTTAAATATCCTGTCTCTGCTAAAGTGTTGATTTCCTGTGATGGTTGTCATTGGAACCATGCATGCCTTAAATATCCTGTCTCTGCTAAAGTGTTGATTTACTGTGATGGTTGTCATTGGAACCATGCATGCCTTAAATATCCTGTCTCTGCTAGAGTGTTGATTTCCTATGATGGTTTTCCTTCCTTTTCTTTTCTGATACTTAAGACTGAGCCTTTAAATTTTGTCACCTATTTGCTCAGCCTTGTTTCACTGTATGTATCCTACCCCGATTATTACTGTGAGGACATACATTTGTCATGCACTTAGGACTTTTAATTATGAACGAAATCCCATTGTAAATGATGCTCAAAGAAATACATCGATGCCCAGTTCCTACAGAGGGTGGACTTGTGTCCTTATATATTAGTGAGGAAGGAAGGTCTCATGCACCATGTGCCACATAGGTTGTGTTTCAGGGATGATAAAGTTTCTAGAACCATCCTATGAAAGTATCCCTAGAAATCCATGGACCCTTTGACTTACATCACTGAGCAATTTAAGGAAAAGCATAACTAGATGAGACTTGAATCACCAAACGACATCCCAGGGCAAAGCAATAAAAACAAAGCAGATTTATTTGCCACAAAGGCCAATCATCAGGGACAAGTGACAAACGCATGAGGTAAAGCATAAAGGAGAAGGGAAAGAAACAAGGGAGAAGCCAAAGGAGTATTTGTTCCTTAGAGGACCTAGAACTATCTCTGGATAGAGGAGACTGATGCTCACTGTAGGAAATTGGAAATTTATAAAGGTGAAATATTTTTGCAAAGGGGAACCACATTTTAGGATGACATGTTTAATTTAATTGTCAGTTTAATTAGGACAGCCCATTCTAAGCACATTCTACAGCAAAAGGTCTGCTTGCATACCACCATGACTCAACATAATGATAATGGACAGAACCAAAATAAAATGGACACTCATCTACAGCAATGCATTTTGGACAAGTAATTAAATAATTTGTTCAAGGAACTAGAAATCTGGCTCAGTTGTGAAGATAATGTATTGCTCTTGCAGAAGACCAGAGTTCAGGCTCCAGTACTCATGTCAGGTGACTCACAACCAGGTTTAACTCTAGCTTCAGATGCAGTGGGTGTTTCTCACATGTACCAACTATTGTGCACACATAAGCACCCATCACATATTTGTACACACAAGTAAAGTAATAATGAAATATTTTGGTTTTTGTATATACCATTATAACTATCCTATACTCTGTGTTCTTACATTTAAAACAATTTCAATAGACTTTGTTTATTTACTATGGTGTATGTTGCATGTGAGAGGACATGGAGGTCAGAAGAACATTCTAGGAGTTATCTACCTCTTCCTACCACAAGGGCTCTTGGGATGATGTCACTATCAGCTTTAGTAGCAATGGATTTAATTGATGTGTTATCTTACTAGCATTAAAGGTCCTTTAAGGACTTTGATTTCATTACGTAGGATGAGAGACAATAGAAGAAATGAAGCAATCAGTTTGCGGATTCTATGTAGCCAACACTAAACAATCACATGACTAATATGTGACTCTTTGCTTTCCTACATCACCATTTTAATCTTATATGTGGGGCATTATTAAATGTGCTGTGTATAATAATTTTGAACACAGTATTCCTTACATTTTCTACATCATGTGTCAAAACTTTTACACACTTTTCTAGATTTCAAATTATAATGATCCTTTGAAAAAAGTGTCTCTTCACATTGCATGGTGTTTTCTTGTTCATACTGAGCAGTTTCAGATAATTTTGCAAGCAGTTATTCCAATATTCATCAGCCTTCTAAAAGACTGCGTAGGTTCCTGGCTCCCACTTTTCAGAGTCAATGAGTCAGATGCCCTATAAACTTGTGTATGAACACATGAAAACATGCAAATATAATAAATAAATACTATGAAAGATTAGTAACTGGAATCCAGTATGCATTTAGCTTTAGAGGAGATCAATCACTAGGAAAGACCATTGCAGAATTTCCTCAGATTGCACCTTGAGTATCAAAACTGTTTCTTTAAGAAAATGGCACATTC